TAGCAATCCATCTTTCTCTGCAGATGGAGTCAGTCCATGGACTCTTCGGTTCAGACTCAGTGTCTGGTCTGGTCTCCTATTATCAGATTGGCCTGCTGGGCAACGTGGCAGACCGAGTGGTAAATAGGCTTTTTCTGCTCTTCTTCTCTCTCCAACCCTGGCTCTGTGGCCTAGTTCAGCACTTCAGCCGTCAGCACACCTCTTTCCCCTTCAGTCTCTCCCCGCACTCTCCTGGCCAATCTCCTGGGCTTTGATATTTATATGCCCCCGCCCCCATATGCTACCTTTCTTGGGAAATGTAGTCCCTGTCCGCCATGTTCACCAGCTGAGTCCTGCTGTTCAGCATACAAGTTCCAAAGGGCTGTTCTGTCCATGTGAGTTACCCTGAATGGCAAGCCACTGCCATATAATGTCCATATTAATGTATTGCAAGTAATACCATTACAATGGGTTACACATGTGATCTTAAAGTGTTACTAAACCCACAACAGTAAAGTCTGTATATGCAGTAAAGAATGCTTGTTATACTCAATGTGGAATCTTAGGGGTTAATCCTCTGCATTGTGTTAAAAGGATGTTGGATCCTGCCTTCTCTGATCCTCCTTCTTCTATTGTCTCCAATCCATCTGCTGATAGAACAGAGCCTTAGGGGCAAGCTGCATATGCTCAGTTTGGTGTTTATTGCTAGAGAGTTTATTTCTTTTTCTTGTGAGAGTGCAGATGATCAGCACTGTCCAGAGAGTGTCAGGGGTCCTGCAGCCTCATAGGCCAATCAAGAGAGAATGAAGACTCCTCCTATAAGCTGTAACTAATGCTCTGATGGACACTGATAGAAGTCACAAGACTGCTCTAACTGCTGATGAGAAAAGGTATTTATCAGTTTTATAGTTACTAAAATAATTGCATTTCCATGTTATGTGTGCTGTGGGAGACCAGATATAGTGAATGCAAGGTCCTAGGTTCAGTAACACTTTAACTTGTCTGCCAAATGCTATTGGTGTCTGGGTGAATCATTAGCAAATTAAGCTAACATATTTAAACTTTATATCTAAAGCAAAAAAAAAAATATACACAGGTGAAACTTGAAAAATTAGAATATCGTGCAAAAGTTTATTTATTTCAGTAATGCAACTTAAAAGGTGAAACTAATATATGAGATAGGCTCATTACATGCAAAGCAAGATAGTTCAAGCTGTGATTTGTCATAATTGTGATGATTATGGCTTACAGCTCATGAAAACCCCAAATCCACAATCTCAGAAAATTAGAATATTACATGCAATCAATTAAACAAGGATTGTACATAGAACAATATCGGACCTCTGAAAAGTATAAGCATGCATATGTACTCAGTACTTGGTTTGGGCCCCTTTTGCAGCAATTACTGCCTCAATGCAGTGTGGCATGGAAGCTATCAGCCTGTGGCACTGCTGAGGTGTTATGGAAGACCAGGATGCTTCAATAGCGGCCTTCAGCTCTTCTGCATTGTTCGGTCTCATGTCTATCATCTTTCTCTTGGCAATGCCCCATAGATTCTCTATGGGGTTCAGGTCAGGCGAGTTTGCTGGCCAATCCAACACAGTAATCCCACGGTCATTGAACCATTGAACCAGGTTTTGGTGCTTTTGGCAGTGTGGGCAGGTGCCAAGTCCTGCTGGAAAATGAAGTCAGCATCCCCATAAAGCTTGTCTGCGGAAGGAAGCATGAAGTGCTCCAAAATCTCCTGGTAGACGGCTGCGTTGACCCTGGACTTAATGAAGCACAGTGGACCAACACCAGCAGATGACATGGCTCCCCAAATCAACACAGACTGTGGAAACTTCACACTGGACTTCAAGCATCTTGCAGTGTGTGCCTCTCCATTCTTCCTCCATACTCTGGGTCCTTGGTTTCCAAATGAGATGTAAAAGTTGCTCTCATCAGAAAAAAGGACTTTGGATCACTGAGCAACAGACCAGGTCTGTTTTTCTTTAGCCCAGGTAAGGTGCTTCTGACATTTGTTGTTCAGGAGCGGCTTGACAAGAGGAATACGACATTTGAAGCCCATGTCCAGGATCCATCTGTGTGTGGTGGCTCTTGATGCACTGACTACAGCCTCAGTCCATTCCTTGTGAAAGTCCCCAACACTTTTGAATGGCCTTTTCCTGACAATCCTCTCCAGGCTGCGGTCATCCCTGCTGCTTGTGCACCTTTTTCTTCCACACTTTTCCCTTCCACATAACTTTCTATTAATGTGCTTTGATACAGCACTTTGGGAACATCCAACTTTGTTTGCAATTACCTTTTGAGGCTTTCCCTCCTTATGGAGGGTGTCAATGATGGTTTTCTGCACAACTATCAGGTCAGCAGTCTTTCCCATGATTGTGATTCCTACTGAACCAGACTGAGAGACCATTTAAAGGCTCAGGAACCCTTTGCAGGTGTTATGGCTTAATTAGCTGATTAGAGTGGGACACTTTGAGCCGAGAATATTGCACCTTTTTACAATATTCTAATTTTCTGAGATTGTGGATTTGGGGTTTTCATGAGCTGTAAGCCATAATCATCACAATTATGACAAATCACGGGTTGAACTATCTTGCTTTGCATGTAATGAGTCTCTCTTGTATATTAGTTTCACCTTTTAAGTTGCATTACTAAAATAAATGAACTTTTGCACGATATTCAAATTTTTCGAGTTTCACTTGTATATATATTTTAATATATATATATTATCCTTTTAAAAATGCTGCAAGTCCTAAAGATATCTATTGATCTGCTTGAAAGTGCTACTACAATTAAAGTGTCACAAAATGTGTTTTTTAAATGAAAATAACCAACATGTTATACTTATATGCTCTGTGCAGTGGTTTTGAACCTCCTCTTCTGGGGTCCCCCCGCTGACGCCCATAGCTTCTCCTCTTCTCCATCTGCCCCCATAGCAAGCCACTTGCTATGAGAGCAGACATTGAATGCTCAATCTCAAGCCAGGCTGTGTGTGTCTATATACACTAATAGCACAGCTTGACAAACCCAGAAGTAGCCCCTGCTCCAAAAAAGTCTTCACTCCAAAATTTGATTGGCAAGCAGCGCAGGAATCAATAGCTCCCATTGCTGCCTTTGTGTCAGGGTAGGAGCTGTGGAACGGACAGGCAGGCCTAATGGCAGGGTCACGCACCGACTGACGACAACCACCACCCACAGACCGGAGTCCCTCGGCGCGGAGTCTAAGTCCCAGGCTGCCCTTCACCAGGGCCCCTGATGGTGGGGATGGAATTGACGCAGCCAGGGACCAGGTCGCGGCCCCCGAGACACCCTAGCTGTGGTAATGGCTGCCGCCAATGGCGTGGCCAGCTGGTAGGAACCAGATAAGACAATAGCGTAGTCGTGCAGGCCGGGTCGATAACAACGGGACAGACAGTACAGAACTGACCCTAGACAAGAATTAACAGGCCGCCGGGGCCCCGTGGCGGGTCGGCAGCACACTGGAGCCGTCTAAGCTTTTCTTAAATGGAGGCACACAGAGAGTACTGCATTAGCAACAAAAGCCAAGTCAGTTTCAACAGGAGAGCCACGAGAGTAGAAACAGAGCTTGTTGCAACACGAACATACAAGAAAACACAAATGCAAATAGCACGTGCGGACAACGGGGCTTATATGTGATCAACCACACTGCCTCTGGGGATGGACCGCAGAGGCCTGAAGGCATAAAAGACTCCCACCATGCTCTGCAGAAACCCAAGATGGACGCCAGCACATCTGGTGAGTGCGCAATGGAGCAGCATAACCTCTGGGAAAAGGTAGGACCTTGACACTTTGGGTTTATTTACTAAAGCTGGAGAGTCCAAAATCAGACTCCCTTCTGCATAGAAACCAATCAGTTTTTCTAACCTCAGCTTGACATTTTCAATGAAGCTTTGGCAATGAAACCTGGAAGCTGATTGGTTTCTATGCAGAAGGGAGTCTGATTTTGGACTCTCCAGCTTTAGTAAATAAACCCCTTTGAGTCCTAGGAGGAGAAAAAGAGAGAAAGAGCAGCGCTGCACAGCAGTGGATTAAGTCCCAGGCTCTAGCTCAGGTAAGTATTTAGAGGGGCTGGTGGGGAGCTAATCATGGAAGGTTTTTTTTTTACCTTAATGCAGAGAATTAATTAAAGTAAAACAATTAAGTAAAGTAAAAAAAAGACCTCTAGCCTTTAAAACCAGTTCAAATTTCAACCAACATTGTCAGCCCCTGCCTGCTGGACAACAGAACTCCACCTGTACCCTCCTAGGCACTGCTATGTATTTTGTGGTACCTTTGAGGTGTCTGTGCTGTTTTTTTTGTAAATATTATTTTTCCTATAGTTTCTAACCTCCAACATGAAGCTTTGGCAATGAAACCTGGAAGCTGATTGGTTTCTATGCAAAGGGAGTCTGATTTTGGACTCCTTTAGTAAATAAACTTGTCCTCATATTGATGAGGACAAGGGCAGCGCTCCCCACAACCCTGGATTAAGATCCTTAATTATTTAGAGGGTTGGGAGCTTATCAGAAAACCTTAATCAGAGAATTTTAAAGTAAAACAAATAAGTAAAGAAAAAAACGGCCTCTAGCCCCCTACAAATTTCAACCAATATTGTAAGCCCCTGGGTACAAGTATGAAAACGGGAACTGTCTGAATGTATTAACCACTTGCCTACTGGGCACTAAATATACCCCCTTCCTGCCCAGGCCAATTTGCAGCTTTCAGCACTGTCGCACTTTGAATGGCAATTGCACAGTCATGCAACATTGTACCCATATGAAAATTTTTTTCACACAAATAGAGCTTTCATTTGGTGGTATTTAATTGGCACTGGTGTTTTATTTTTTGTGCTATAAGCAAAACAAAATAGCAAAAAAGTTTAAAAAAAGGTTTTTTCTTTGTTTCTATTATAAAATTTTGCAAACAGGTAATTTTTCTCCATCACTGATGTGCGTTGATGAGGCTGCACTGATAGGCAGCACTGATGTGCACTGATAGGCAGCATTGATGGGCACTGATGAGGTGGTACGGATAGGCTGCAGTGATCGGCACTGATAGGAGGCACTGAAAGGTGGCACTGATGGGCAGCACTGATGGGTGGCACTGATGGGCAGCACAGATGGGCACAGGTGGGAGGCACTGCAGGGCACAGATGGGTGGCACTGATGGGCACAGGTGGGTGGCACTGATGGGCAGCATTGCTGGGCACTGATCATCAGGGCACTGATCATCAGTGTCCTGAAGATCAGTGCCAATCCCTTCGCTGACAATTGCCGGTTCTCAGCTGTACTTAAGTGCAGCCGATAACCAGCAACGGTATTTACCTGGGGATCTGCTGTGTCATTGGACACAGCTGATCATGTGGTAAAAGACTGCCGTGATTGGCTGTTTACCATATCACGTGATCAGCTGTGTCCGTAGGACACAGCAATCACCGGCAGTGACGGGTGCGTACCGCTGGGGGCACGCAGGGGGCGTGGTCTGGAATGATGTCCATGGACTTCATCCTAGAACTAGACAACCGCACTGTAGCCATCCTTCAGCTATAGCGCAGTTGGGAACTGTTTAAAAAAGGGTAGACAGAGTGGTTTATAAATAAAAACATGGCAACTGTTTATGATGCACAGTACTTTAGCTCAGTACCTTGTGATTGCTGTGATGCCTAGGGATAAGCTCAAAGTTTGGTCCGAACTCAAGTTCAGACTGACCGTTAGCTGCTTTGGAATTTGTAAGAACATCAGACTTTAGCTTGTTTGACCGAAGCTGAACATCATACAGTATATAGTAGCAGTATTTCTACTGTTACTATACAGTATAAACCAGCTTCCGTGGTGACAATAGTTGCTAAGGAAGTGGTGGGTGCTTGCACCCACTATATCCTTAGGAACCAAAACTACCACTCCTCCTCATTAATTTACTAACTGGGAATCCCAAGCCATGTAACCAAAGGGGCAGGGATAGCACTGACATCACTGACCAAACATGGACATTTTTAGGGGAAATCCTATGCTGTTTTGTTTTCTTTTGTGTGGGGTTCCCCCATAAAATCTATACCACAACTTCACCTGGGTTAAGGGTCTGGGACAGATGAAAGGAACCCCCAACTGCTTTGTTTAAAAACAGAAGTAACCAGCTGTCATTTACCAGCAATTTGAGCAACATATTTTTCTTTGTAAATCTCAATTTTCCTGTATACAATGTACAGATGTTATTTAACCACTTGCCAATTGCCTGCAGTAATTTTACTGCGGATGAGTGGCTTGTACAGGCACCGTAAAGTAACTGTAGATTGGCACCTTCTGGGTTTAGGACCCACCAACAAGCACAGCAGTATTTTGACTGCAGGTTTTAGCTAATGATTCATGGCTGAGACCTGTTGATCAGCTGTGTCCAATCATGGCCCAGAGCACTTTGTTGACAAACGCACAGGGCTCTGTACAGAGAGAATGATTTTTTCTGCTTCTTCTATCTGCAAACCATGGAGAAAGAACAAACATATTTTTAGTAAAAAGCAGCACATATTACACACATTACTACTTGTTAGGCATACACTTAACCCCTTGATTACCCTGAGAAGTTACCCCATTCCCAGCCAGTGTCATTAGTACAGCGACAGTGTACAGTATTATCCCTGAACACTGTATTAGTGTTACTGGTGATGTCATTGTCAGTAAGTCTACCTCCTACCCAATGTCAGTTATTGTCAGATTACCCGTCGCACTCAGTTACTGATCCCTACCATTACTAGTATAAAAAATATAAATAAAAGTTCCAGTATAGATATCATAGTTTGTAGACACTATAAATTTCACACAAACCAATCAATATACAGTTATTGGGACTTTTTTTTTTTTTTTACCAAAGACATGTAGCAGAATACATTTTGGCCTAAATGTATAAAGAAAATGTTGATTTGTTGTTTTTTATTAGATATGGTTTCTAACAGAAAGTAAAAAAATATTGTGTTTTCATTTATTTAATAGAGAATTAAAAAAAAAAACCATTGGTGATCACAAACCACAAAAAAAAGCTCTATTTGTGTGAAAGAAATAATATAAATTTAATTTGCGTACAGTGTTGCATGACTGCGCAAACAAGTTTTTTTTTTCACAATGTTTGGTCTTTTTATTTCCCTTATAGAATTTTTGATTAAAGAGTAACTCCACTTTTGCTGAGAAAAAACTCTTTCCCCTCTGGGTGATCCATGTACATCGCAAGAATTTTAACACATTTTCTTGCAGATTCCTACCTTATTCTGAAGAAATAGCTGTTTTTGTTTGTCTGTGGTCATCTGCAAAGTGAATGTGAATGGGAGTAACTTTTTCATTAGTGACCAGCTGCTGTACTTGCAGAGCTCTAATGAAGAAAGTTGCAGGATCAGAATGACTTTAGATGTGATTAACCTCTTGGGAATATATCACCAAAACTAAAATGATTGTTGCAGAGTATGCGAGGATGCTCAAAATCTAATTTGTATGTTAGTGCAGACTTTAGGGAAATTCAGTGAACCAATTGCACAAGCAGAAATTACATTTCTGGGGGACATTCACACCGTCTGTGTACAGAATGTACAGAAGGACCCCTGGTTGCCATATTACATTGCATTTTGCAAAACATTACAGAGCTGCAGATTTAAAAGGAAAAGTCATTTTTAATAATGTTATATTACAGTATGGCTTGTGTTTATGCTATATGTTTTTATATGCTAATTGTTTATGCTATATGTTTTTATTAGCAATATTTTTTCCCACAGAAAGTGGAGTTATCCTTTAAATACCAAAAAAAAGAAAGCTTTGTCTATCTTGAAAAAAATATATAGAATTAATTTAGGTAGAATGTTATATAACAATATAATGAGTAATTGTCAGTCAGATAAAGTAATTGTCAGCAAAGAAGGTATTACAGATTGGTACTTATTTGGTTAAAATAATGTCCAGCTGGGAAAATAAAAACAATTGCACTGTCTTAACCACCTTCTGCCTGCCCTATAGTAAAATGATGGGTGCAAGGTGGTTCTCTCGTTCTGATAGGACGTCATATGATGTCCTACCAGACTCACTGTGCATGCGCGGCTCAGGGAGCGCGCAGCGCGCCGATCGCCGGTGCGCTGTGTCCCTCGAACACAGCGGATCATGGAAAGAGCCGAAGATGTCGGCTCGCTCATGTGATCAGCTGTGTCCAATCACAGCTGATCACATGAACACATGGAAATGCCAGTTATCGGCATTTCTCTCCTCTCGAGCTGTCACGCTGACAGCTTGAGAGGAGAGGAGAGCCGGTAATCGGCTTTCCGCGGAGGGGACATGTACACTGATGATCAGGGCACTGATGATCAGTGTGCCCTGATGATCAGTGTGGCCCCAGAAGTGCCACCTGTCAGTGCTCATCAGTACCACATGCCAGTGCCCATCAGTACCACGTGCCAGTGCCCATCAGTGCCACATCAGTGCCACATATTAGTGCATACCAGTGCACATCAATGCCACATATCAGTGCATACCAGTGCACATCAATGCTACATATCAGTGCCCATCTAAGCTGCCTTTCAATGTCACCCATCAGTGCCAGTCAGTGCCACCTATCAATGCCAATCAGTGCCACCTATCAGTGCCAGTCAGTGTCGCCTATCAGTGCGCATCAGTGCCAGTCAGTGCCACCTATCAGTGCCAGTCAGTGCCGCCTAACAGTGCCAGTCAGTGCCACCTAACAGTGCCAGTCAGTGCCGCCTATCAGTGCCAGTCAGTGCCGCCTATCAGTGCCAGTCAGTGCTGCCTATCAGTGCTGCATATCGGTGTCATATATCATGTCATGTATCAGTGCTGCCTTTCAGTGCCCATCAGTGATGCCTGTCAATGCCCATCAGTGCAACCTACCAGTGCCTCCTCATCAGTGCCCATCAGTGCCACCTATCAGTGTCCATCAGTGCAGCCTGTCAGTGCCCATCACTGCAGCCTCATTAGCGCACATCAATGAAGGAGAACAGCGCTGAAAGCTGGAAATTGGCCTGGGCAGGAAGGGGGTATAAGTGCCCTGTAGGCTAGTGGTTAAGAGGAGTGTGTGGTGGTGTTTACATGTTTTCTTTATATTTTTGTTAATGGTTAAGATTATTTTTTTTAAATCCTGCTAGGGAAGTTACCCCTTAAACAATTATCCCCCTCTAGCCAATCACTGTGGTCAATCACGCAAGATGCCAAATCCTGAGTCTTTTCCTTGTTGCAGAGCAGAGTGGTCTTTCTTTATGTGTCTATGTCGCTGTCTAGTGAGGTAGACACTTCCATTGGCTATTCATTGATTGGGTTCTTACTGAAGAAAGCGCACATGCCTGAAAGTACTTTTTCTGAACTCTTTATTTAGCCAAGTCATAGAGCTCTGAGAATTACTTGTCATCTATAAATGACCAAATTAAAAGTTATTGATACAAAATTATTTTATACATTAGTCCTGATACTTTTTACAATGTTAGCCACCGCATAACACCCACAACCACAGACTCTTACTGGTGCTGCAGCCTGTTTAGGACACCATATGACACACTTGTTTAACTTTTCAACTCGGATGTAACATTTTGGTTTCAGTCTGGCACCTTTGGGTCCATCAACTGATGGCTTATATATTCTTGACAGCTCCAAAGTCAAGTCAGCTATAACTTGCACTATAAATACATGGCAGAGGAGAGCCTACAGAAACACAACAAAAGATGGCTACCTGTCTGGAAGTGTTTGATGGGAAGATTTGGGATAAGGGGAGTGTCAAAACATTGAAAGGTAATTAACAGGCAGTGTTTCAGATTGCCCCTTGGAGAGATAAAACGTCGGTTCAGAAGCAGAACCAGTATATTCAAACACTTTATAGAGTCTATAAACAGAGAAATAAAGTGGTTCTAAAGTCAAGAGTTTTTTTTTACCTTAATGCATTCTCTGCATTAAAGTAAACAAAAACTTCCTCCCCCCCTTCCCCAAACACTTACCTGAGTCCCTTCTCAATCCAATTTTGTGCCCATCTGCAGCGCTGTTGCTCTGTCTTCCTGGTTTTACAGGATACTCTGAGAGCTGAGTAGAGTGGGGACATGGCCAAAGCAGCCCTGTGTGTGTCTATGGACACACACAATCTGGCTTGTGAGTTCACCTACACGAATGCCCCCTCAGCACACGGCTTGCTGAAGGGGCACTCAGAGAAGAGGAGCGTACAGCACCAGCGGGGAACCCCAGAAGAGGTAAGGAGCCAGCCTGTGCAATAATATTGCACAGAGCAAGTAGGTATGGCATCTTTTTATTTCAGGGGGAAAAAAGAGCATTTAATATCACTTTAAGAAAAGTATAGATGTTAGAAAAGATACATTTTGCTTTCAAGATAAACTACAGATAAATTTGATTTGGTACTAATTAGAGTTATTATGACCTTTACTTGTAGCGCTTTTTGATGTGATTCTCACATTATCTGTTTGCTGTGCTATAATATTTT